ATTTAGTTTATATAAGAAAATATTTTTGTTAAAGATATTTAAAATATTTATGTAAAGCTTTTCTGTAAAAACCCTTGTTTTTTAGTTTTTGTTTATTGACAACACAAGTCAATACGATTTAAATTCAATATATCTAATATTTTAAATTTTTACGTTAATAGGACCATAAGTAATTATCAGTAACGAAATATTCACTCAATGTTAACAAGAGCATAACATTCTTTTATGTTAAAGTTACCATATATCTTGAGTCTTAATTTACTTACCCTTTCATATCTTTAATTTTCTAAACAATTTATACAATTAGTCAAATAATCGAATTTTTAACAAGACACGTATGTTTTAAATAAAAGAACCAGCATGCACCACAAATATATAGATTATTAAAAAAATTTTTTTTTTAAAATAATTATCAAAACTTTGATTGATATTAAATAATACTGCGATCCCCAAGAATGATTGTAAGTTCAACAGACTTGTATATAAAACTAAAAACTTTAATAAAAGCAAAGACTATGGTAAGGAATTGTGCTCTATTTAAGAACCAGATATTGGTTCTATTATAATATAAATAATATTTTAGTAAACAATAATATTCATGTAATATACACTAGAAACATACACTATTATACACTAAAAAGATATAGAATATTAACAGATAAGCCGACAGAAATTCAAACAGATAGAAAAAGATAAAATCAAAAAGTGCAAGATTGATTTGTGCCATCATTCTGGTCAAGAATATATTACAGACGCTATACTTTTGTCTAATATATTCTAAATTTTTGAACATTTGAAACAGATATTAACCTTAGCTCAATTATTCAGTTGAGAAAAAACAAAAAAAAATACGTATTTAAACATATAACCAGCGGTATAAGTTCTTATCAAGCACCTAAGCAATATAATTTTGAAACGTTCGAGATAATATACTATCACTAACAGAAACAGAGTTTTGAACGCTTTATCACAATTTTGTTTGCTGAATCTCTAATAGCTTTTTCAATCTAGATTTCCTTTTAGTGCTATTTTAATTTTCGATTTGCGTAATACTTTAGACATTTGGCCAGAGTAGCAGGATTACCTTGGAATCTAATTATTTTTTAATATTTGTCAAATAAAGTGTAACTTGATTCAATATATGTGTTTATAAAAAATGTGAAAGTCTACTAAAACTACCACAAAAATGTTAGATTACTCTAAAAATGTTTGATTGAGCAAGAAAATTTGCAAAATCGAGAGCAAATTTAGATTAAATCTAGATTTGCCAATTGCCATTAATGTGCTGAAAGTCACCAGTGATAGATAAATTCATATCCTCACACCGCAGAAAGAAAATTTTTAAAGGGTATTAAGTTCAGATTACATTAAATCCAGATTTACTAATCAAAAATGTCAAATGATGATATGCACTTTCTCAATAAACTATAAATGTACCTTTTTATGAAACGATCTCCATTATATTAAGTATATATGTTATATTTAGACACAGTATTACATACTGCTGCAATGTAAAAATGTAAGACTGTTGAAACAATTAATATTCATATTAACAAACTTTAACACGGGTACATTATTGAGTGGTAATCAGAGAGAGATAGAAAATGAAATGGCTGACTTTATTAGGCAAAATTTAGAGAAAGTATCTCCTCATAATTTGGTGACCAAAACAGTTGATTATCAGTATATGATTTAAGTGCCATTAACATTTCATACAAAGGAATTAGTTTCTTTTTTAATAAAAATTAAATTGGTTAAGACTAATATAAAATAAATTAAATATTTATTTTAAATTTTGAATTTGATAATAACTCTATGAGTAAGAAATATGAATGCTTTTATTTAAGAAACATGTGCAAATAATTTTTGACCAACGAATTAGTATGGAGACAAAATGCAAACTCTGTCATGATACAATTACAACAAGTACATAGCTAAAGAAGAAGACCTTTAGGAGCTAAAGTCATCCCAAACAGACTTGAGGACTATATGTAAACGTCTAATAATTATAAATATATAATAACATAATTGAATGATAAACAAAAGTAAAGGTCGATATATCATTTTATGTGAAAGTCCTTCCCTTCTGATTACAGGTCTGTATTTTAAATAATTTTTTAAAACAAATAAACTAATATAACTAAAAAGTAAAATATATAAATTAAAATTGAATTACTTACAAAAAAAAATTAATTTTAGCTAAGTGAAACTACTTATTTGTTTATTTATTATTATAAACTATTATATTTCCTAATAGACTATTAGAAAAAGTCAAGCTAAACTAACGTAGCTTAGTTAATATTAGCTAACAAACACATGCTATTATAACTTGAGTTCAATTTAAACTAATCTGCTCGCTTTATTTAAATATAAATAAAAACCAAATTTTACTTTGTCACTCTAACCCGGAGATATTGCCAATATCTTCAGCAACTAAAATGTATTTATTTATCTAATAACTAATTTTATAATTATGATTAGAAAGATTGAAAAGTTTTTAATAGAATTGTAATGCTTTATACAAAAAGTTAAATATTTTTCCATTGCAAGCTGGGATACAATAATTAGTCGAAAACTTATGCTCTGGCTTACTACATAAACTGTAGATCACATCAAAATTTTTACTCTATATTTACTACTCTCACTAACTTAGTATTAAAAAATGAAACCAGAATTGCAGTACCTTATAAGAGGTGTTAAATATTTTTACTCTAAAATATTAAATATTTTATAATACATTTAAATATTAAATATGACATTTAAATATTAAATATTACATTTAAATATTAAATATTACATTTAAATATTAAATATTTTATTGTATTCTAACTTATACAGTGCTCGTTTGAATACAAGACTGCCAGCTTACGAGAATTGTGGATACTTTTACTTTACATGAAAACTTTTTCTTTACGTTTATTTCTCTAGAAAGTGACTATGTCTAATTAAATCTAATAGTAGAAAATCTCTTATGATTGGCAGGTCACCTGACTACAACATGAACTATTTCTCTATCTACAGTACTGCAGGTTACGAACTGATTGTACTACATAAGTTACTTAAACTTTTAAATACAGAATTATTTCTGTAGTTTCTTTAGTATTCGGTATACAGATTGACTTTTGTAATATAATCAAAGATTTAGTAATACTAATAAAAAGTTACAAGTTGTTGATTTATCGAATTATATTCATTTAAGTAATTATATTTCAGTCCATACCTATTATTCCATTATTGGGTCGGTTTTATTAATTTTAACTTTATCATTCTAACCCGGCGTATTAGTGTAATTATAATTATAATTATCATTCCTTATATATGAAACTAATAATTCCTTTTTGTCTATCTGTTATATACATAAGAATCTGATGCATTTCATTTCGAATATGAAAATTAAAATTTTTTTTTGTTATTTTTACATAAATATTAGCAACAATTTTTCAAACACTAAACAGAATATTTTTTATCACAATATTCAACAAAGTACATTTGTAAGTGTACTCTTACGACAAACACTTATTGCAGTAAGTATTTTAATTGAAGTATATTCTGCAAAGGCATTTGTCATGAACTGCCACTAGAATATAATTTTGAAATTTTACACATATCACATATATACAGACATAATTTGTTATTAAAAATCATAATACACATGAATATTAATTTTATATAATTTTTTTTTCGTTAAATATTTCATATAATCATTAATATTTTTTGAAATATGGCAGTATTTACAGGCGCCACACAGTGAATGTGATTTAGTAGTGAGGGAATTTACAGGACAACACATTGTTAGTAAAGACAAAAGATAAATAAAAAATTTTACAACAAATTAAAAAAAAATAACTAAATATAGAAATAAATTAAAAATTAATTTTAGAAAATTTGGAAGTTAGTTTAAGAAATAAATTTTAAATAATTAAACAAAAAATTTGTGGAAAATCAGCCCCAAAGTATCAAAATACAAAATACTTCGTTTTAGCTTGAAAAAGAAACAAATTTAGATTTTTTTATTAATAAAAATGTTTTTTATTGAAAATATTTTTAATTTTAACTAAGTTTAAGTGTTTATATTAAGTTTTTTTATTAATTGTAGTTGTGTATGTTTCAAGGGATATACAGTTAATAAACTAACTGCTATGAAACTAAGTCTTTACTACTTAGTTAGTTACTTCAAATGCTCATTACTGCTGCTTTATATTAATAAATAAATAAATGTTATAACGAATTCTGAATGAAGTTGCTATTTTTAGTTAATATGAGATAACGCAGTTGTTGCATTATAAAGATGCTCTTACAATGTTGATTCGGTCCAATTAACTGCAAACTCCGCCTGTTTATGCATTACGTGCGTTACGCTCATTCCGATTTCACATATATATATATATTCTTCATATATTTACTTCTTAATACATTTTTCTGTACAGTATTTTAGTTTAATTATTTTTTAATTATAAATATAAATATGTAGTAGTACTATAATACAACTGTTAAATATAAGTAGTAAGTGATTAGAGAAGAAAGTAGTAAATGATAGTACGATGGTGTTTGTTGTAAAACGGAGTGAATATTCTTTTTTATAATATCAAAAAAGTATTTAAATTTTTTTTTTTTAATTTAAATTTCTAAAAATTTCACCCATTTCACAACTTAAATTAGCTTAATTATTTTATGTGATTTTATATGAATTTTATTTTAATGCATAAGAAATAAAAACAAATGTTTTGTTGTTGTATGTATTTTAATAAAGCTCGATATTTTGTGTTTTTTCAGTATTTTTATTATTACTTTCTAAATTAAAATATTATAAAGTTTTTAATTAAATAAATTACAAGTTAAAATTATATATCTTTATGTTTATAATGCATTTTATGAAACATTTAACGAAAATTTAGTATTATTTTATACATTATTTAAACTTTGATAGCTTTTATTTAAAGACAACATATATTACCATTATATACATATATCTGAATATGTATATATATATGTACTATTATAGATAGATCAACTTTAAATTGTATCAAACAAAAGAATTTCTGTGTTAATTTCACTTCGGTATTTGTTATACCAAGCGAATCTAATAGTTGATTTTGAAAAACTTCTTCAAACTTTAATTGCTGGAAATATTGAAGAAAAAAAATATAAAATAGAAAAACATTTACAAAATTTTTACAACATTACAAAAACAGAGAAGATTATGTGTGTCTCATTGTCACAGTGATGTGAATGCAAAGTTTTCATACTAATTTAATTATGCTAATAAAAATAAGTAAAGTTTTTCTTTATTTATAATTTTTTATTTTTTTCAAAATTTTTATCTTTTGTTTGATTGTTTTTTTTTTGTTCTTGAATTTGAAAAAATTCTGTTGTTCTTATGGTTTGTTTTTTATTTTTAAGAGGATGTGCTATTTTCCTTTGAAAAGCTTAGTTTGTTCTCTTTTCTGTTAAATTTCGTGTTTACAATTTTGTAATTTAAATTCGTTAAATTTTGTTTTTAATTTAAAAATTTTATCGTTTTATATTAAAAATATACTTTCATGTTGTTGTTGTGTATTTTTTGTTCTTGTTGTGCATTTTGTTTTTACTTTTGTGCTTACAAAATTTTTTACAATTCCTTACCCTTGTTGAGTTCTTGAAGGAGCTTGTCTTCTGGTTCATATTCCAAAGGCACAAGTGCGTTGGGTGTGTATGGCTTGTCCTTCAGGTAAAGGCCATAACGAGATGGATATCTTAAAGTAAAATTATAAGTGCATTTATATAATGAAGCAAAAACTATGTATATCATAAGTAGTTTCTTCTATGCCTTTATGAATATTATAATAAAACTAAAGTACTAGAAACTTAATGGAAATAAAAAACTTTTTGACTTAATTATCATACTTCAATGTAAAGTTTAATGGCTTCAAGTTCTACATCCATTTTCTTATTATAAGATTTTCTAAATAGGATATAACATCTTTTAGTTTATTTTTTTTTTTTTAAATTGAATTCATTTACTGGCTTTTTTCTCTTGGAGACTAACAATAAGTATGAAAATCTTAAAATAACTTGACTACATTACAATACAAGCAAATCTTTGCTTAAAGAAACACGAGCTAGTGTCTAAAGCATTTTTACTTAATGGTCTCTGTGAAGACTTGGGTGATCCACTATAACTATACCTCTATTGAATTATTATAATGAGTAATTTAGATGATTTTACAGAAGTATAACCGAGAATATCAAAGAAGCCAAGATTCGCTGCGCCAGAATATCATCCTAAAGGATTAAATACTGCCATATCGCATAAGTTTTAAGAGAGTGTAGTTCATGTATTAATGAGAGCATCGACAGAATCAAACAAAATCTGTGCTGTGTCATTGATATACTTTTGCGCACTCTCAAATCTCAAGCCATTTGTATATATAAACAATTCTGACATACCATGGAGCTATTAGCACACATTTCAATATAATATTTTGATAAGTTTGAAGTTTTCTTATAGTGGATGGAGCATTCACTTCATCCATTTTTTGCCATAAAAACCACAACCATAAAGTATTTTGGTACTCTATGTACATGAATTCAAGTTAACTATAATAAGAAATTCTTATGCTCATCACTAGAAATAAATAGAAATGTAGTTTAAAGATTATGTTATGTTTTTGTAAAGAAAAAAAGAGAAATTTAAAACTCAAGCGGGACGGTCTGCTCTTTTTGGGCTTGAGTATCAAGTTGTAAAAGCATGTTTTCTGACCAAAAAATTAACTTGGATCTGTAAGTGTGAGGATGTGGTTTGAGGATTATATATTCCTGTACAAAAGAAAGAGCAGGAATAAGCGAAAACGAGATTTGATACTAGAGTAAGATTTAAAAAAGGTATATAAAAATCAATTCAGAACAGATCACTCTTAAAAAAACTTGAACATCCAGCAGAATCTATTGTTAATTAAATAAATAATTTTTCAACTGATTATCCTTTTGAAATTAATAATTATATATATAACTTAGCAAATTAAAAAGTTTATTGCTGAATAATACAATAATTAAAGTAGTTTCACATATCTATTAAAAAATTAAATTTTTACCTATGTAAACAAAATAAGACCACTTCAAATTAATTATTTTCAAGTAGCTGATAGCATTGGTTTTTTCTTTCTAAATATTGGATATTTTTTCCTTAGTTTTTAAATAATCGCAACAATGAATAATTGAAGATGTGTACAAATAACTAAGATGTCTTGAAGTATATGACTCAGCTATTGCTTTTCCTATTCATTATTAATCCATTAAAAATTTCAAATAATGAAATATATTATCATTAAAACAAGAAATTTTTTTTTGCTATTGAATAATAAATTATTTATATGATAAAACAATAAACATTATTTTATACTATTATCATATTTTGTGGGGTAAATTAATTAATACAATAAACTGTTTATATGTATATAGTTGTAATATATGACATCTTCGGGTTTACAGAAAGCAGAATGAAATATAAAAAACAGAATAGAATTTATTATAAATTTGTAATTGAAACATCTGTTTTTGAGTGTAGTTCTACCAAAGGCAGCAGATATATAAGTGATTAAAGACAGTCAGAAAATCGGCAGCGATTTCTGTTATTAAAAAACACTCATTTTTTTGTAAAAGTTTATCTTATTAACATTAACATATTAATATTAATAATACTGAAAATTTCTTTTCATTTTCTCTTCACCTCAATATATGTGTAATCTCGATAGGCGTTAGATTTAACTACGATCGAAATGTCAAGTTTTAAAATTTTAGTGGACATTTATTTAATATGTTATTATATATATACATATATAGAAGTTAAGTATGGTACTAACTTGCATTCACATGCACAACGAGTACATGTCGTAACACTTGGTATGATTATCATGATTAAGCATTTATTATGATAAACTGCAGAAAGGCAACATATTCTTAATCAGTTTTACTTAATATATATTACAAAAACTATATTAATATTACTAGTATTTAGCTTTTATTGTATTATTTCAATTGTAATTACCTGCGTTCAATTTCTTGCATACGCTTCAGATGATCATTCCAGGCCTTCTCTGCATCGTAGTTTGCTGGAACTGTGAAAAGATAAAAATTAATTACATTCAGTTTATATAAAAGAATGTTTAAATTTTAAATAAAATATTCATTTCAATTTAAAAAATGCAATAAAAACTCATGAATGCTTACAGCGTTAAGAAAAATTTGCATTAAAGCACTTGGCAGGTCTCGCATTAAGATGAATTTATATAGTATATATAAATGTGTATATATTAAAAGCATACATTTTTGTTATTTAGAACAATTTGCAGTACGTTTGGTATGCAAAATTGCAGCAATTGTTGGCAGTTGAAATAGGTACGGTAGGGACCCAATTGTTTGAGCCAAAAGTAGGAGCATTGGCAAGTATTTTTCAGTTTCAAACAGAAATGCAACAAAATATATTAAAAAAGAAGAAAAAAAGTTTAATTAGCAAAAAAAAAAATAATAGCAATGATATTTAATATCAATTCAAGCAATCTAAAGTAATGAAAAGTTCTACAAAAATGTTAGTAATAAAAATTTTTTAGTATTGCTGGTGAATTTTTAAGCTAAATATAGCATATTATGGATAAAAATGTAAAAATAGTTAATTAATTGGAGAACTAAATTAAAACATTTTAATAATATTTTTATTCTTTTAAGTGAATATGAATTAATAAGTGATTGAAATAAGTGACTGAAATAAATGTAGTTAACTCGGAGTGAACCCTGATTTTGTAATTAAGAAAAAGTAATTGTGTCTATACGAGTATAATTATGTAGTCTTATAACATTAAAAATATATAATTTATTATTTGAATTGTTGTATATTGTATTGAATGTGTATTAATATATAATAGTATCATTTGTTGTATTTTAAATATATGCTCTCCATGAAACAAATTACGTATTTCTAAATAAGTAAACTATTTAAATCTCACATACAATGCATATAGTGTAATTTCAAGTATATATGAATAATTATGTGGATGTTGTGTTTATTTGAGTAACTCATAGTGTTGAAAAGAATATCGTAATATGTTTTTGAGTACCTTACATTAAAATGTTTTATAAGCACTTAAATGTATTAAAAAAGTTTATATTAATTAAATCAAATTAATATGTAGTTAATTTTTATGCAATAAAACAAAAAATAATATGCAAATGATTTATGTACCTTCTGCAATAAACTTTCAAGCCATTATTTATAAATAGAATTTAATTCCACACTTTATTCAATATAATGCATATATTTATTTAATTTATTTAAATATTTATTTCAATTCAATATTTTATAATACAAACATTCAATACTATAACAATTTTCGCAAATATTTAATATATATATATATATATAAATATATACTATTTTGCAAACTATAGACACATAAACAATTTTTTAACTACATAAAATAAATTTTTTTAATTTTACTTATGAGTGAGTGCATATAATTTTATATAAAAAAATTCTATCGAATAAACATAAAGAGTAGAACAAACTGCTTGTATATAATATTAGCATTTCTAAATATATATTTTTATAGAGGTCTATAATATATAATATTGAGTTTGTTGAGCTTTGTTGAGTTGATATAAGATTCAAAATAAACAGATATTTGCTTTGTTATTCATAGGCACAAACGTTGACATATTTTTATACTTTTTCTGAAATATTTTTAGAGAAAGAGAAAAAATTCGTTAGTTTCAAAATTTATTTTTCATGAAACCAAACATAATACAATTTTAAGTTATAAAGTAAGACTATAGAACTCTTTTATATCGTATTCAGCTCACCTTTTATAGAAAAGGGTTTTTATTTTTTTTTGTAAGTAGGCAAAATTTTGAGGGGTCTTTAGCAGATTTGAAAAAGAGAAAATATTTTTAGATGACAAATAATGAGCATATATGTATGTATTTTACATATCTGAAGCTCAAAATAATTTTATGATTGTGGGTAACTTTCTTTAATAAAATTGTGTCTCCTCTAATAAACTTCAATCATTTCTTTACGATAATCCGTCAAACGCTATGTCGCTCTTCTCGATTTTTATCCACTTTATTAAACTATTTTATGGTTACAATATTAAATAATTTTTAAATTGAAATAAATTGCTAATTGATTTGTATAGTTATTTTTTTATCTTCCTTTTCGAATTTGTTTTAATTATATATAGAATTAGCTTACGGCTTATTGAGTTAATAACATACATAATACAATAAATGGAAGAAATGGATTAATATTTATATAAAAATAATGAAATAAATTTTATAAAAATTGTAAAATTAAGTTCTTAAATACCATATAATGCTGTCATAAGTAAAAATTTATGTAAACTATCTGGTTCATACAATTTTTTTTTAAATTCTCTTTGTTTTAATTTTAAATTTAAATTTAACAAAATATTCTGATTAATACTAAATTGTTGTTATATTTTGACAAGAAGTGAACAAAAATATCGTAACATATTTTAATGGTCAAAGACATTTGATATGAACCCCATATTCTAAATAATTAAGAGATACAATTTTGTATGTATATACATATTTATATATGTATATAGCTAACGTAATTTAGTTTCATCGAAAGAAAAGCTATCCAAAAGCTCTGCATATTTTTCAAAAAATATGAATTGAATAATTTTTGGCAAATGTCTTTTCATTGACGTAATTTGTTTAACAATGTATTTTTATAAAAATCTTAAAATATAATGAAAAAGAAGGAATATGTGTATACACACTGTATACAATCTGTCAAAACATGCATACTATAATAATAGATGAAATATATGTAACTAGTTTCGCATTATTCTTATATAACATAAATAAAAAATAACTCTTTTTTAATTAATTTTCCAGACTCTTATAAACTTATATTTGACCACTTTAAACTATTTTATTTCAATAATTTTGAATATAATATTTGTTGTAAATTATATTAAGACTAATTTTTTTATTAACTGTAATAAAATAATAAATTATAATGTAGTAAATAATAATAATTAATTACTAAACTTCGTTTGATTATATAACAACAAATAAGAAAAAATTACAAATAATAATATTTTAAACAAATATCTTACAATTATGTATATACATTAAATAAAAGTAAATCATAATAAATTGAAAGGTCCTGACAGCTAATATTTAACTAAGAGATAGGAATATAATAAATAAAATAAAGATTAAATTACAAAAAATATACACTACAAAAAACTAATTTCAGATTAAAATTTACTAAAAATTATTAATTATAATAAATACACAAAAAACAGCAAAAAATTATTATTTTTATATATTTTGATTAAAACTTAGCTCCAGTGACTACGTTTAATAAGAATTATAACTAATCAGTAAAAAGAATAAATAAAATCAATAGATAAATAATTTTATATATAACTATATAATGTTAAAATAAAATGAATAAATATAAAAAGAAAGCTATAAATTTAATTTGACTACAAAGTTAAATAAATATTTTGATTTTTTTATATTTTTTTTTATATTCATAAAACATTAAATGTTATGACTATATTAAATGCTAATAGTTGCTATATATGCAAACAAATATATTAATTAATTGACTGATTTAATGCCATGATCAGAAAGGCTATATGAGAAGCACTATGAAGAGCTGAATGTTATAATTTTACTTGATTATAATTTTAAATATAAAAAAAGTAATTAAAATGAATGACACTTACTAGTTCTGCTGTAATGATGATCATAGATGGCACGTGGAGAGTAACCATAGGTATCTCTGCTCACTGGCAAGTATCTGTAGCCATGAGATTGCACACGTTGGTTGGCAGTGGCTGGCTCATCGAAAATGCTCCTGTATGTGGCGGGAGAGTCCAAATATGAGCTGTATGGCCGGCTAGCTCTTGGTGCTTCATGGGCACGAATATCTTCGGATCCTATTTAAAAGAAAAATTAAATATTATTTATTTACAAATCAAATAATTGCTATTATAAAAATTTTTTTATTCATATACATATTATATTTTTCAATCGATATTTATGTATATATAACTATGATACGTTATAAATCAGCATATCAGCAAAACGTCTTGCAAAAAAAAATAGAAATATAAACAAAAAATGTTGTTGTTGTTTTTAATTACTTTTACAAAAAGAAATAAAGAGTAGTCGATTACTGAACTTTATTTTTTTTACCCGACGTTTCGCTGAAATTTTTTCCTCTATTTTCAAGGGTGGATCATTTCAAATTATGTATGTATTATTGTTTATGTATTATATATATGACTATAGTATGTTGTTATATATTATATTTTGTATATCAAATATTGGTGACTCAAAATTTTCAATCTTCGTGTTGATTTAAATCTCTATTCACATATAATCAAATTCAACTTATAAGTAATATAACTTCTACTTTCAATCATTTATTTGCAACGATTAATTTATAATTGCACTCTACTTACTTAAATGATTTTTGCACTATTATGTATTACAAACAAACTTCACATAAGACAACCTCGTCGTTGTTGCAAATTTGTTATTTATTGTTACATATTGTAACAGAGAAAAGGTAAGAACATATGTTACTATACAATAAATTAAGGTTCACAAGACAACATCATCGTTGTTGTAAATTTGTTATTTTTTGTGTGCATAATGTTTGCATATGCATTGCTGCTTTTTTCCTTATACACTTCTTGTTACTATATCAACATATAATTTAATGATAGTTATTGAATATCCAGATGAATGCATAGAAAATTAATAACTATTACTGCATGTATTGTCGTTAATAAGTAAACGAGAAAATATTAATAAAAACTACACATTACCTACACACTAAACACAAACCATATTGAACTTTAATAAAAAATTATTATTCATCTATAAATCACGATAATATCTTAGCCCATTAAATTATAATAACCTTCATTAAGAGATTTTTAATAAACTTGAAATTTGTATATGACTCAAGCTATTTAGAAGCCGTTTTCAGAATATTAAGTAATTAAAAGTTAATATTGGGAATGGGTACATGGTTTTCATTGTACTTGAAATCATCTCCTATTTTTATACCATTTACTTAGAAGCCCTCGGTATAAATAATTAAAGTCATTCTTCAATTATAATATTTATTTAATTTTTACATAATTATATATAACAAAATAACTATTAGATATTCTACCAGAACTTTTTGATTACACACAAAAAATTTTATAGATTTTCAGATATCTGCAAAAAAGTATTTGTATAGATTGCATTGAAATTAAAATATTTAGAGCACGCAGTAGATATTAAGTAAGACCTGTATCTGATAGAGAAAAATATAAAGAAGCGAATATGAAGAAAAATTCTTTCTTAACTCATGATATAGCCTCCGTATTTATGCATTTCTTTATATCACTTTATATGTGTCTCATGCCGTATATTCAATTTATAGTACAGCCCCCGTATTTATACATTTGTTCACATTACTCAATATTTGTGTCACACCGAATCTTTAGTGTAGATTTGGTTTACCTTATGATTTTCAAGAATTTTCAAAGAAATCGCGTGAGTTCAGTTTTTGTGTGCATCTCTTGCTAGTTACATTTACAGAAATTTTATACATATACATATATGTATTTTTTTTTCGATTGAATAAATTGTGAGTTTCTGATTCATATATACATATATTTTTTTTAATTTATATTTCAATTATATATTAAATTATTTATTTTAACTAAAAGTTTTGACGGCGTTGATTTTTAAACAACATTTATTTTAATTTACTAAAAATAAAAATATTGAATGATACCAGTCGAAAAATCGAAAAGAAAAATCAATCGTAAATTTTTAAGATCCACGTCATTGATTTTGTTTTTAATTGGACAAATGCCAAAAAAACAATGTATGTTAATTATATACAGTATTGTATATAGAAAATTAATATTAAGATATAAACAAATGATCAAATTTTTGAAAAATGTTTCCAAAAATATTTGTACGTTGGCCAAAGTATTTTATAATGGATCATGAATTTTTTTTTAATTTTTAGTTGGTATAAATATTTGTGCTCATTTACTTTTCCTTAAAATGTTGAGTATCATTTTTTATCTTATACATGAATTATAAAAAATAATTTTTATTTAAAATAGTCTGAGTTGCTTTTAAATATTATCTGGCAATATATTTATTTTACCTAGAGAAAATTATATTTTATTTTATAATTGAAAAAAGAACTATATACACATGTAGTACGCAAATAATTGAATTTTAATTTATATCGAAAATTTTAATAAATAAGAATACACAAAATAATTTATGAGTTTTTAATTAGAAACAACTTTCAAATTAGCATCATATAATGTATTATGTATATGTAATTTAATGTATTTAAATCAATTTTTTTTTAATATTTTTTTGTATTTATTTAATAGTTTATAAACTATTGTCATATAAAAAAAAATTTACGAAATATATATTTATAACTCATATTTTAAGTTAATATAAGATATGAGTTATGTGAAATCATTATAACTATTTCATAAAGTTATAGGCTATAAAAAAAGTTCTATTTTCTGTTGTGTAGTAAAAATTAAATTTTTAATAATATTTTGTTTTATTAAAAACAAACAAATTTTTTGGAGTTCCAATTTCAATCAAATCGAAATTTAAATTTAAAAAATTTAAATTAGTGTGACTAAAACTAAACATTAACTTTGCAAAATTTTGTATTATTTAATAAAATTTATACATTTTTTATGAAGTTATATATTTTTTATTACTATTTTTTATTTTATAGATTTTTATTTTAGTTTACCTATGCAAAACACATATAACCTTATTAAAATATATTATCTCATTGAAATGTACGGTCATATATACATACTTAAATAATTTTTATAACAAAATTAAATGATTTAAAAAATTACCTTTCAAGGACCTGATGTATGATTGCCAGAATTTTGCTTTTTTGCTGGGGGTCTCATTACGACCGATCATTTCCAAATGGCTTTTGAACATTTTGATCGTTTTTTTGTGTTGTGCTTATAACAAGAAAGTTTCGATGTTTAGTCTCGTTCGCTGAAAAAATATATATAAATTAAATTTAATTATGTTATATTTATTTTATGTATGTAAAAAATTAATAAACTATTGATTAACTTGCTGTATTACTAATTTATTGAATAGATATTTTTTTTGAATATTAATGTACACTGTATAATTTAATTACATTTAACTCTTTTATATATATATATATATATATATATATATAGGGAATATATGGAAGTCAGTACTGGGAAAGCACTAAATTTGTCATTAGCTGACTGCGTCAGAAATTTTTTGAAAACAAAATTCTTAATAAAAAAAAATTAAGAAAATTAAGAAAATCTTGTGGTATAGAAAATCCAAAAGTAAGAACTACAAATTGTAGATATTCCGCAGAGCTAAATTTTTAAGTTATTTTTAAATGTCCTTGAGTTGAATATTTTCAAAAGCACACACACACACAAATTGAACACACAATTCACACCGAATTATGTTGAGAGATATATTTTTAAATTTATATATCACAGCAGCAAAAATTCAAATACATGCCGATTTTATGAGATATAGTTTTTATTTTTTTTTATTTCCACCGCATGTATGAGAGTTTAAGATATTTCTTGTCAGATGTTTCGTATTTTTTGGCACGTAACACAAATATTGTTCAATTTTACAGTTTTAAATATGCAAATTTATTGAATATATTTTTTGAACATTAAATTTTGATCATTTGATATGCTTTATATTGTTTCATAACATATAAAAACACTTTTCGGCAAAAAAAATTTAATTTTGTTTAATATAATATTTATTCAACTAAAAAATTTGCAGTATGTACAAAATGTATAGAACATAAAAAATTATTTCAAAAGTACTTCCAGTCATTATATTTTACATATATGTTAGCACCATTTTATTATATAATTATACAATTAATTTTTCTATATAATTTTTTACATTTATTATTCATGAAATTATTTATTTAATTAATTTATTTAAAATTGTAATTATTACTTAAATACTTTTTTTTTATTAAGGTACGTTTTTTTCGCATATTTTTGTTTTAACACTAAATTTTATTTAAAGCATTTTCAATTTTTTTTCATAATTTTTATCTGTATCTTTAAATATTGCTGCTTACATTTTATTTACTCCTAAAAATAGCGATCTATCCTCAACGAAGAATTTTTTCAAACTGCAAACTGATCGGCATCAACTTAACCAATTTTGTTCGCTTTCATAAAATTGAAATTTTCTTTGTAGTTGTAGATTTTCTGTCACATTTAAAACAGTTTGTTAATAAACAAACTCATACATATGCACACGTAAGCTTCTAACTAAACAAAGTAATCGCAGGCGTTATGTACTCCTCCTCTATAGCATACAAATACACACATACACACATTATGACAATTTTACAAGAAGCCACCAAAGTCCAACTTTTAAAATGTCTGACACGATATATACCTTTATTTTCTGTATGCTAAAAGCATTTCGATACGTTGTATTAGTAACAGAAAAGCTCAAGCTTTTTCTGTCAAGATCATGCACCAACACAAGCAACTTTGCAAATTTTTTTTTAACCAAACAATAAATGAAAAAATTTTTCCAAATACATTTCTATATTTTTATTTTTGTGCTATGAAATTTGAATTTGTTTTGTTTTGAAATTTTACTGGTCTTGTCTTTCTATTTGAAGACATTTTTCTTTGTTTCCAAATCCGTTCTTCGAACTTTTTTAGGTTAAAACAAGAAAAGGAGATGAAAAAAGTTTTTTTTTAAATAATAATACTACAAATTATAATAATTTATGTGCTATGAATAAATTTTGTAGAACAATATATTAATTTTTATCTACAAAAACATTGTTTCGATGTTATTAAATTCAAATCAAATACGTCATATTTGATCTTGAACGTAACATTGAACTGTTTGGAAAGGCCACATTAAAACTTCCAAAGAAAAATTTTCCAATTTTGTTCATTTAATAAAATTTAATTAATACATACTATATTCAAAACTGCGTATAATAAATAACTTATGTTGACATCCGTCTTAAGTTTGTTACATTTAATTTCACTTATAAATAATAAATTAAATTGAATATTATTGTGAATTTATATGTATTATATTTAAAAATATAACAATATAACAATATTTCGCCCGTGCGACTTGTGGTGTAAAATTAGTATGACTTTCTCAGTATTACGTTCCTAGATTAGGTTCTATACATAAGAAAGTATATATAAATCCTGCACCAAAATAATATGAAATATGACTGCTTAATTTAATTATTCTACACCTGATATATAATTTAGTTCTAATATAAATACAGTAAGTGAATTTCTTAATAAAACTTTCACAGTATAGTAACAAAAAAATAGTCTTGCTATAGTATAGCAAGACACGAGTTCGATATTCCTGATACGAATAATTAAATACAAGAATTATTTTCAAGACCACTTATGATGGGTATTTGGCAATACTCGAAACAACTGTATAATCAGCCAAAAATTCAATGAATTAAAGTAATATACAATGACTTTTCATTGTTATAGTTCACTACTGTTCAAAAAACCTCTTTATGAAATATTTCTCTAAATAATATAGAATCTTGATTTGTTGAATAACTAAGTTCAAGAAGCGTTGATCTCACTATGTTAGTACTCCAACAAAGCAAAAATTGTTTCTTTTGAAAATAATTTATAGTAATTCAGCAGTTTCTTTAAGGCAGTTTTAACAGATTAGTTTACGTTATAACGACGATCGTAAAAATCTACTTAGGCCTATTGACTTATTATGCTATCGTAGAAGAAACTCAAAGGCTTAAAAACCACCTGGAATCTTTGGCAAAGCCTTAAATACCTAAAAGCTTAGGCCTAGAGTTGGCCAAGATTCTTAAAAAAATTCAAACCCGTAAAATAGTAAATCGGCTCCTCGCACACACTAGGCAGTAACAAAGCAAATGTGAAGTACTTCGATCGTCCCCCCCACATGTACAACAGCTATTATTAAAAAGCAGATTCAATCTCCCTTTAAGGAGACCTCCCACAAGATTGATATCTTTTCCGCTTATCTCAATAAAGGTGCTGGATTTTTTTTTTATTAGGACGGGGCGAACTTGGATATAAATACGTGCATATTCTTAAGTGTTCCAATCTTTTAATAATTTGATGATGTTAACGATATGCCAAGATATTTTAAGTGTTCCGAATAATAACCTGAAGCATTCCGATTAGCCAGCTTGTGTGCTTACAATTTTTCAAAAATAACTCTCTTTGGAACTCAAAGTAGAGAAATGTTAAACTATAACCACATATCCTTCATAGATGTGTTGTAGTCAAAAACCGTTATATATGTAAATTTAACTGAACTCAAAGACGCTTGACTGTGTAATATTATACATATATTCCTATTAAATATAATCTTAAACTTAAGCTTTCTTGGTAGCGATCACCTCAACCTGAAAAATACTGGAATGATCAGGAAGTTTGTAATTAATAGATTAATTCAGTCCTAAAAACATATTAGAATTTAATAATATCAATGTCTATAGCAGTGTATGCTTATTAGGTTATCAACATATGTCTTCTTTTTTGTGCCCAGTAACCAATTAACACAATTTTTCGTTTTTTATGCAGTTTCTTTAATAAAATAATGAACTGATTTTTCCATTGAAAAATTTTAAAATATTTATAGCATTTAAATTCTACAAATATTAAATTAAGACATTATAAGCAAACCTGCAAAAATGTTTAATCTTTTATTTCACATATTTTGGAATACCCATCCTGAGTGATCTTTTTGGAAACATTCTTATATACAATTATTCGTAAAAAATTTTTTGAAATTTTAAGTACCAAGTATTGACCTTATATTATTTTTCCATACTATTATTACTATATCTTTTGTAATATATTTACTGACAATGACTATCACTATTAAAACACTTTTGGCGCCAATTATTTAAAAAAACTACGCCAATAACCCTTAGTCCTTCAAAATAAACATGTGCACTTAAAAGAAAAGTAAAAGGTGAACTTTTTTTTTAAATTCTTGGCATTAAAAAACTGATTTCATTTTTAAACACTTTCCTTTTAAATGTTGCCAGGTATTTCCCAAACATTGAAAGTAATCAAAATAATTACAACGCAGATCATTTCACTAAATAATCGATTTTTTAAAATACACGACGACACAATTAATGCATTTTTGTGGGTCAAAGAAGTTCTTTTTTATGCTTCCTCTTGATCTATTTAACTGTGGGAATGAAAAAAATGCAATAAAAATTCAATGTCAAGTTCTTAAAACTATTTTAAGTAAATGCATTTTACCTCAAACCGTGCAGTTATAAACAAATTTTGTATACACAAAATACCATACATGAGAATATAATACTAAATGTAAAAAAATAAACTATTTAACGTGTAAAAAATACTAAATATTAGAGAAAAATGTTTAGTGCGTAACAGAAAATAAACTATAAATTTTTGTTTATTTACATTTTCTAATATTTCCCTGCATTTTTTTGCATTAAAAATATTCTCAATACTTACCTTGCAGTAAATAATATATTTTGTATATATTAGAAATCTATTTTGAAACGCAAGCTTTTTGCAGTTGCATCATACGCCCAAGTGTTTATTGTCAAAATAAAGCAGACGTGTGCATATCAGTACTAAGTATATTTATATTTTTTTATACTAGACGATAATGAATGTAAAGGTCAATCAATATATGAGAAAAAAAAACACTATTTTTATTATATTTATTACGAGTATATTAACTAATATTATTATTTAAATATTATTTAATTACCCACAACTATACTTAGCAATCATAAAAAAGAAATTTAATTGAAAAAACTAAAGCACAAATTTCGATCAAATAAAATCTCTTTATTGTATCTAAAATAAACCAATAATAGTGAATTTCTTATAATATATTAAACCCTTCCAAAGTATTCACGTACAACTGAAAATTCTATTTTATTGGATTTTATGATGTGGTTATGCGATGCACGTTTTCATTGCATTCTTCAATATGACTTTATCCCTCTGAGCAATTTTAACTTCATTTATTTATTATTGGCTAAACGTGAATATTTACATATACTTCATTTAAAAGTATGTACAAGTATTATGATATCAGGATTATTAAAAACTTTAGATAGTGTTTGTTCTTAAATTTAATTATTGGCGATAGCTATTTAAACCAAATAACTGTGAATACATGTGTCTTAACATGGGCTTAATCAAAATGGGTTTATACAGTGGTATGCCATCACATTCCCCTAAAAGTATAATTAAAGTAATATTCATAATGAAGAAATAGTTCACTTTCCTTCAACAATCCCCTTAAATGTGATACAGCAATGGAGGAGGTTTGGTGTGAAACGTTTTTGATTTATTACATTAGAATTATTATTTTTTTCTTGTTCATATTTCTTAAATAAATAAAATTTTCACTTAATGCAAATTATTTCTTTACAAATGTTTTATACAAAAAAATTTATAAATTATTGATAATTATTATTAGGATTACTTATTTTATATTGATTTGATCGCATATATTGGTCATATATTGCGTTCATAATTTAAATGTATTATATGTATGTGTCATTTCAAAGAAATATGATTGAATTTCAAGTATCCAAATTCCAATATAGTTTAATATTGATCATAAATGTTCAAATTTTTTTGACTCAATTGTATTATAAGTTTTAAGATAATAATAAGTAATTCAATTCAAAAATTTAGATGCTAGTAAAATATTACTTAATATTATTTGGCATATGTGAATCATATTATTGGCAAAAAATACACAAACTTACATTTACACAAACATTAAACATTTTTTTTATTTAGATGCACAATTTTAGCACTGAGCTATTTACAGGTGTTGCATTTCTAAAATTCTTGAAAACCAAAACAAAAACTATGAAAATAAATTCGAAATATATGAATTGTAATAAATAGTAAAGGATTTAGAACATCAAGAGCTACTATAGGTTAAAGAACTTAAAACACATTACTAAAGTGCTTCCTTTACTTTTTAACATAACTTCTATAACTTAACAGAGGCACTTCTAATACATCCATAATTTTGTAAATTTAGATATTCAATTAAGTGGAAGATTAAGCTTCAAGCTGTTGAGTTATACTGTCTTATAAACATTCAATTTTCTTAAAGCTTATAGTATAAAAATATCGTATATAATTGCGCTATTAATCAGATTTAGATATAAA